TAATTCTATAGGTAGCAAATCGGGAGGTCAGCCCTAACCTTCGGTATTCGTCTCCCTTTGTCAGCCTCTGTGTGTCCTGGCATTTGGATGAAGCCTGCCCATTTTTGTGGAGTTTGGCTAAGTTTTGGCTTGTACTCTGATTATTTAGAATACGTTGAAGTTTCCAATGTTTTGTGGTACGCCCAATCAAGGGGCAGGGTGTATAGGTGTATGTAAATATTTATTATCTGATGCACTGTTTGTGATCCTGGCATGATAGTGGTCGCTCAATGGATGTAGTTCTTTTTATTTCATGTTATTTTATTATATTTAATGCTTCCGTTCAAGCCCCATATCTTATGTACATCAAGTTAAGTGTCCGTTTCTGAAGTGGTCATGCCCAAACTTTTAGGGGCAGGTTTGGGGCGTGACAAGTGTTATCAGAGCACGAGTTGCTATCTCACACATGAATCCATTGAGCCTTAGGATGTCTAGAAAAGACTTAGGTATCGTGCATCGCATACTGAAAGTATATGGAAGATTGATAGCAACGTTAAATATAATCTGCTAACGCTAATGATCATGATCCATGTCTGTTAGGTATTCTTTGTGTATATTGTAATTGATTGATATGCATGATATGGTGACCAAGATGGAAGATCCGAAGGATTCTACCTCCGCACGGTTAGACAGAATGAAAAAGAAAATTGTACAACATGAGTAAAATGAATTGCAAAAACAAAAAAAGAGAAGAATAAGAAGAACGTAAAGAATAGTTTTGAGAACTATTGCCTCTATTTATCTTAAATAGGTTAGTGGACAATGCAAGACAGGCAGATGGAATTTAATCAACAGCGTGCACTGTGGAAGTGTGGTGAAGGTTCGAGCTGATCAGTAAGACAATTTACATGCAAATAGTTAGATGAACATAGCCATGTCTTCCTTGCCATAGCCCTGTTTGGACCTATGAATTTGAGAAGCTATTGTGTTTAAGTATTTGGATAAGTTATGTTTTCCATGATAGTTGAATTATGTTAAGTATAACCAGCTACAAAAGAAAGTTATGCATGTAGTGACCCCTCTTAGAATTGTGTAAGGAGTTAATTGATTGTGATTTTGTTTCCTACTGATTGTTAAAATGGATAAGGGAATGACTTACATAGTAACAATGCTTGGAAGTTGATTATTGACCTTGAAACATCATATAATTAATATAATTTCGTGAATCGAGAGAATTACTGATGACTTCTGATGGGAAACCGAGGGAATTATTGATGATGTTCCATGGGTGTTGTTATGAGTAATCGGGACTTGTTTGTGGGAATCTGTAAGCATAACTGTACCTGTTCATAGTTAGGGATCCGTAATTTGTACTCTGTACTCCGTATTTTGTCTGGAATTTGTGGTCTGAAATCTGGAATTTGAAATCTGTAATCTGTCATCTGTACTCTGTATATTGTTTTGTCTATGTGTAATCTGTAAGATGTAATCAGGATTCTCATAAAGGTGATTGAATGATAGGAAGAACCCTACTTGTATTACGTGTCTGCTCTTATGACACACACACACACACAAAAAAAAAAAAGAAAAGGGGATAGGTAGCTATTAACTACTTTGAGATCGAAACTAAATGATTGGTAATCTGATAATTTACCGCAAGAATTACAACTCTGCTTGTGTACATTCATGACTTAAGATTGAGGAATCATTTTTGTGATATATTTCTGTGTAAACATGCAAATGTTGGGTATCGCAAACTAGTTCTTCATTGCATATTTGAAGGCCGAATGTAAACTGTTCTGCATGATATTGTGACCTCTGAGAGAAGAAAAAAGATATGTACTGGGCATCTACCTTTGATCGCAGGTTTATACGGATGTGTACGATACCCATTACATGGTCACGCATTGATTTACTATCCTATTGAACTAACCTTGCCCAGAATTACTAACTGTGAAATTAACTGGTCGAATTATTTTGCTATATCATTGCATATGTTGTGTTGACCTTATGGAATCTGGACGGATGTGGTAATTATGATTGTAGTAGATGTAATAGGATTTATGCTTTCTGTATAGTCGACGGTTGAATACTGCATTTCTAAATTATGAATATGGAACCATGTGATTGATCTTATATCCTGCAGTGGGAAAAGAAAGAATTATCTGCACAGTTGAACACTGAAATGATTAAAAAGAGGGGCCAAATTAATCTGTGCTAAAATAAGAAGAAATGCTTATTAAGGAAGAATGTTACGATTGACCAATTAAACATGATTTGCAATTTGACTTCTGACCTTATCTTTGGATGGCTCCCTTTTGTTTGAAAAGATGGTTTCTATTACTCAGATCTGAACTTATAATAGTGTGATTAAGTGTCTATCATGGCACACCTACATGAATTTGTAAAAGTATATGATACTAGTTTTGATATTATTGTAACTGTTTGATCCGAAGCATGGTTCTCTTTGTGTTACTGTACGTAGAAGTGATGCTGGGAAGAATTAACGATGTTTATTGGAATTCTTCTTCCTATTGTTCTGACCCTGTCAAGAATTATGATATATAGTTTTGAATCAACAATGATACGACTTTGATATGTTTTCAAAAATAGAAGAATACTAGAAATTAATGATGAAGCTAGTGGCTGTGCCCCTAAACGATCTAATTGTGACTGCTGGAATGAAGTATACCTTGCGTCTTAAGTTAGTGGCTCTGATATCTGATTTAATTAGGCCTCATTAGATTTAAATCTAACCATGTAACTGAATTCTTTTGGAAACAAAAATCAGATTTGGCCTTTTGAATCGGAACTACAACACTAATACTTGAATTTATTTCTATCCTACGGGAAAACGAGTTTGAGGGACCAAACTTATTTAAGGGGAGGAGAGTGTAATAACCCGACCCTCGTATATGTTTTCTGGTACACTTTCAGTCCCTTGTTCTGTGCATTTATATGCTTAATGTGAAATTTCATGTGAAAGTAAGTTTAAGCAAAAGGACCTCATGATTAGAGACCTGTATCTGTTTAATAAGGAAACATATCTGTTGCAATTAAAATGTTTGGATCAGAAATTGAGGGATTTAGAGGCTTGATAATCTGAAATTGATTTTACATTTGAGATCGGCATGATTTTTAAGTCACAAAATGATTTTCTATAAAATTTCAATTTGGAATTATTAAACTAATTGAGTTTCGTCTTTATTCACCTTTGACATCTATATCTATGTCCTTAACCATTTGACCTAGGGCCATTACTCAAGATATTTCCTGAGAGGAAAAAATTACAGAAGGAGAGGGTTAGGAAGAGAAGGGTTTGAGAGGAGGAGGATAATTCATCAAGAAGAAAGATTCGGAATTGAGAGGGATTGTAAGGTTTAAAGCTCAAGGTATGTGCATTTTACTTGAAGTATGTCCTCTCTTGAAAATGAGTAAGATTTTCCTTGATAATCTTGAAATTAGAGTGTGTATTGGTTAAGTTAAGAAGATATTTTATTGTTGGATTGATTTGGAGTTAAGTTGAATTATATGGAGAAGACTTTCATTCTATTCCTTATCTTCACATATTTGAACTTGTTTATGGCTTTGAATGATTGTGTATATATTTGGTAATTATATAGAAGAGATCCAAAGTGTTTAACTTGTGTTTATGAATTGTGAGGAATTGAAGAATCAATTCATGATGAAATTGATACATGTTTGAAATGTTTTTGGACATAAATTTTGAACCATGTTACATCAATTAAGAGGCTTATTTCAAGCCTTAGAAAAGCTCACCAAAAGATTGGGTTTTGTTTGGAATTTCGGACAAAATTGGTCAAATTGCCGCACGTGCGGGAATCATGGTCGCACGTGCGGGGGTCATGGCCGCACGTGCGGGGAAGGGAGGAATTTTGGGTTTTGGTTACTGCTGGAAAAACACGTGCGGGCCTTCCCAGCCGCACGTGTGGCCGGGGCTCACAGCTGCACGTGCTGTGACGACCCAGAATTTTTCCCTCCGCTCGAGTGGACTTTTGGGGTTCCCAGCAATTTTGCAGACGGCCTGAGATTCTGGGAGTTGTGAATCTCCGCTAGAGCGGAGGAGTTGACGCTCGAGCGAACTGATTTATTGGTCTGTGCGCACTCGAGCGGGGAAAGAGGCGCTCGAGCGTGAAAAGTAAGATTACCCTTGACATTGTAGTAGTGTATTTGGAACCTTCCTATTTTATTTTGGAGTATTGATTGAGATGGTAATTTGATGGCAAAGTAAGATTGGACCAAAAACTTTAATTCAAACAATTCGTTTACGTTCAGCAGTCACTCTTTTGCCTTTTTCTTTTTCCACACTTCGAATTTGGATATGAGGTTAGAACCATTGGAAAGCTTATTTTCGGGGCTTCAATTTACACACAAGAATAGGAATGGCAACGGGGCGGGGCGGGGCCGGGGACTACTCCCCCCATCCCCGATCCCCGAAATTTATATGCGCCCCGTCCCCGTCCCCGATCCCCAACGGGGACCCAAAGCCCGGCCCCATCCCTGCCCCCGATCGGGGATCGGGGATCCCCGACCCCGAAAATCCCCGGTGGCGTTTTTTTTTTTTTAATTTAAAAATCTGTAAATAAATAGTTAGAATTTTGGGATCAACAACATTTTTTTATATAATAGTATAAATTTTAACAAAAAAACTAAAAAATAAAAATTAAGTATCACTAATCAAATCCAGTTTTACAAAACATCCTGAAAATCCATTTTCATCCTGAAACAATGGATTAAAAATCTGTAAATTGATTACAAATCTGAAGCAACATCTGTAAATTGATTAAAAATCTGAAGCAACATTTTGTTGCCAACATACAAAACATTCTGAGGCAACAAAAAAATTTGTAAAAATCTGTAAATGTAAACATCCTGAAGCAAAATACAAAACATCAATAAACATCCATTTAAATCCTGTAGCAACATCCTGAAAATTCAGCATCCATTACATCCTGTAGCAACATTATGAAAATTCAACATCCATTACAACATGAAAATTCAGCAGTCCAACAAAACAACACAAACAAAACATCATGTAGCAACAAAATAACACAAACCAAACACTTGTCCAGCAACCCACACACACAAGAAAATTCAACAAGTACCAAAGAGAATAATTAATTCCAAGCACAACCCGCAAGGAATAGGTTACCCAAAAATTGAAATTAAAAATAAAAAAATATATATCCATTACAACATAAAAAAGCAAATCCATCATCTCCTTCAACTTGAACTCCTGTTAAATAACAAAAGGAAAAAAACAAATAATTAATACTAATAATAAAATGTAAAAAATGTTAACAATTAAAACAAAAAAGATGACAACTAACACAAAAGTGGCACATGACTGATCCGACTCGATCTCATCATCATCATATATAGTTGCATAGCCCACCGATTCCAATGTTGAATTTCCTAAAAAGTAAAGAACATAAATTCAATAGTGAAATTATTCCATGGTAATATAAATAATAATATGCAAATTGGATGAAACAATACCTTTCATCTCTTCACCCCACAACCAACTTTGTGCACACATTAATGTTTCTAATGTGTTTGGATGAAGTCTACTACGATGTGGACTCACCAACCTTCCACTAGTACTAAATGCTAACTCGGAAGCAACAGTGGATACAAGAATAACTAAAATGTCCCTAGCTATTGCCTGTAAGGTCGGATACTTTGGTCCACTAGCTTTCCACCAATTCAAAACATCAAAACCTGAAGTTCTTGGCAAAACATCATCATCTAGATAATGGTCCAACTCTGATCTTACATTCTTCATTTTTTTACTTCTCTTTCTACTAATAAACAAATCAAATTCTGAAAGGGTCTCTGTAACAATTTCTGGATTAGCAGAAGAGTCACCAACAACATCGGTCTCCATACCAACTCGGTGTTGATACTCTTGAAACAAATCATAACAAATATGACGAACCCTATCAACTTCATCTTCAGCTTTGTCTCCATAAAGTTTTTCAAAATAAAACTCCAATACACTCATCTTATACCTAGGATCAAGTACAACTGCAACCCCAATAACACCATGTGTCACTAACCAATATTTATCAAATTTTTCCACCATTTTTGATGCCATTGTTCTGATCACTTCAATTTCACAAGAGAGCCATTGAGACAGTGTCATCCTAATCTCACATAAAGCTGGGAAACAAACATTGGCTGTGGGATACTTTGTACCAGAAAACAACTCAGTGATAGAAGAAAAAATCTTAAACCTCCCACTAATCTCTCTAGCAAACTCCCATTCTTGCTCAGTTGGCACAGTCTTATATTGGGGCTCTCTACTTTTCAATCTAGAAAAAACATCCTTATACAATAAGGCTGTCTGAAGCATCAAGTAGGTTGAATTCCACCTAGTTGCACAATCAAGTCCTAATTTCTTAGTATGTGGAATACGCAATTGGTTAACTGTTTCTTCAAATTTTTCTACTCTTTTTGGTGTTGCTATCCAATAAGCTACACTCTCTCGAATTTTCTCCACACCAACTCGTATGACATCCAATCCATCTTTCACTATCAAATTCAAAATATGCGCACAACAACGCATATGAAACAAAGTACCACCAAACAAAAGAGATGAATTACTTAACTTATCCATCAACATGGTAATCATGGCATCATTTGTGGAGCAATTATCAACAGTAGCAGTTGAGATTTTTCTATCAATATTCCAATCCATCATACACTCAAGAAAAGTATCACAAAGAATTTCTTTTGTGCGTGGACATGGAACATAAATAAACCTAAAATATGATATTCATAAACAAGTATTAATAACATGCAAATTGAACTGAATAAGATTGAATTTTTAAATGATTTGCAAATTTACAAAAATATACCTCAAAATGCGACTTTGCAATGTCCATGAATCATCAATAAAGTGTGCGGTGACAGCCATGAATCCTTTCTTTTGATTGCTAGCAGTCCACATATCAGTTGTGATTGCTACCCTACTTTTATTATGCTCCACCAAACTCAATGTCTTCACCCTCTCATAATCATAAATCTTTAAAATATCACTCTTTATCGTATTTCGAGAAGGCACTTTAAACAATGGTTGAAGTGCTGCTGAATATCGTTTAAAACCAACATGGTCTACGATAGAGAGGGGATATTCATGCAAGATTATGGCATGTGACAACTCTTTCCTAGCAAAATCTTGATCAAAGATATAAGAATTCATTTTTGGAATCTCTCTATTGAAGTTGTTAGTTAACACTTTTTGCCTTATGTCCATCACTTTCTTCCTAGTACAACTCTTATGGTGATCATGCAAATGCCTTGTTCCATTTTTTGAATCACCTCCTAGATGCTTATTACAATAATTACATATTGCCTTCCACACCCCATTGACTTGTTGTTTTTTAAAATGTTCCCACACAACACTTGATTTTCTTTTAGTTCCTCCACAAGTAGTATTAGACTCTTCTAAATCAATAACATTTTGATTAGAGAGGGGAGACGGTGAGTTCACAGGTGCGTTCGTAGGTGGCGATGAATGTTGTGACGCGTCACTCTCAAATGGTACTTGAGAGTTAACGGGTGCTTCAGAGTTAACTGGTGCTTCAGAGTTAACATCTGACATTTTTAACCTTTATAAAAATATGGATTGAATTAATATAAATAAATTAAGTACTCATCATCTTTTAAACAAATTATGACATGATTGAAACAATTAGAAACAGTAGTCTCGTTAAAACAAATTAAGTACTCATCATCTTTCTCTTAGAAAGAGTAGTGTGATTAGTGGACAACACACTAAGCAGCTGTTACATGAACAATAAGTTATAAATATGCACCATGAGCTATATTCATCACTTTTAACATAGCTAGACAGACTCCTAATCCAGAAGAAAACTCATTATTTAGGATACATTTTTCTTCCACATGCATATTTTTAAATATTCTTGATGAAGTATAGGGACTGTTTCTTCAATAAACAAACACAAATAAAGGGAGGTTTAATCTTTCATCAAATGTAAATTACTGTTGTTGGACTGAATGTCCAAATTAGACTGCTGCCTATTTAGTTCTCATATATTCATCATTAACCTAAAGAAGAATTCCACAGCAGTCAGGTTAGTAGCTGATGAAACACGGAGACACAATAATTCCACATTCAATAGTCAAATCATCAGCAACATGTACTGTACACTTAAAAATCTACAAACATATCTAACAAAGCTAAATTAAGAAACGTGTCCCCACACACTCACAAGCATGCACAAGTGAACACAAACACACACAAGAAGATAGAGGGGGAGGGGGAAAGAGAGAGACTGACATTATGACAGCACTAAATCAGTTATGACAAGCAAGAAACAACTACAAACTTACATAATTAAGCTAACAGCGAAAGTTTTAAGGATGTTTCTATCCGAGCAAACAAGGGGTTATAAATTATAAATAATGGAACAAAGGTGTAATAAAGGAGCTGTCCACATTTTCTCAATAAGCACAAAATGTCAACTGTGTGATGTAATCCAAACCAAAACTTGAAACTACATCATAAATACTTGATGTGGCACAACACCTAAACAGAGATCAACTCATGGAAATTAGACTGCTGCCTAAAGTACTAAAATAATTTGTTCCTAAACAAGGTGTCAATGTTGAAGATGCTCTAAGGGGTAGAAAAGTAATCTTCTAAACAGGGTGTCAATGTTGAAGATGCTGTCGAAAAAGGTAGAAAAGTAATCTTCAATGATGATGCACTACAAATAAATAGCTTTGTTGACAGCAATTAGGGTTTAGGCTCAAAGAATGAATAAGGCTCCTAGCAGAGAGATTGGGACGTTTTTGAGGGTGGTTGCCCCTCTCTACAACACAAAAGATGATCAGATCAAGGATCATCTGAGCCGATGATTTCACCTCCCAAATCAACAGCCCTCTCCCTCTCTCTCTCTCTATCTCTCTCACACACACACACACACATTCACTCTCTTTTTCTCTGTGTGTTTGTGTTTGCGAGTCAAAGATTGGATCTTCTCCATCTTCTTCTCGCGGGAAATTCTATTTACACCCAAACAACTTCCCCGAAAGAAATGAAAATAAAAATTAAAAAAATGTTTAGGCAGTCCTTACGATAGGGTTAGAGGCTGTTGATTGCAGCACAAAAACTTAACCCTCCGCAAGCGCTGCCTCCGGCGGAACAAAGAGAGGCTGTGACGATGTATTTTCTTCTGAGCACATGAGTCGGGCACTGAGAACCCGACCCGTTTCTTGGCGGGGCAACTCTTAGGGTCTGTGAGAGATAGAGAGATATGGGTTCCCATTGTTTCTTCTCTCACGGTCAATTGTTGTTGCAGCCATGGCGTTTCCGGATTCTTGCCTGATTATATATAGATCTGAGCCTCAAAAATATATACAGGTAAATATTTTAAAATTTTTGTTGTGGTTGGAAATTTGGGTCAATCTTAATTTGTAATCTTGTTTGAGTGCTGTTATGAATTAGGTTGAGATTTAATTTGAAAATTTAATAGTTTAATTTGTTTATCTATTGAAACGTTTTTATTTGAGTTTTAATCTAATTCATATTGAACCGAGTTTACAGTATATACAAATGTATGGAACCAGTAATAATTTCACCTAGTGGCGTTTTGGATCTCAAAGATATTTCAAAAGCCTAATGCTGTGTTAATGGTTGTATATTACATATATGATATATATATATATATGCAAGGACAAAAAGGTAATTTCATCTCGGGGAATAAGCGGGGCGGGGCCGGGCCGGGTCCGGGTATGAAACATCTATCCCTGTCCCCGGCCCGGATATCATCGGGGATGAAATTTTGAATACCGTCCCCGGCCCGTAGGGGATATTTTTCGGTGAATAACCATTAAATTCGGGGACGGGGGGTCGGGTCACCGTCGGGCCGGTTTCAGATTGCCATCTCTACACAAGAACGACCTAAAACGAAGTCCGGATGAGAGAGTTATGCATGTTTGAAGTTTTGGAATCTGTGCTGGGAGCAGGTACGCTCGAGTGGGAAGAGGGACACTCGAGCGGGTTTTGCGAGTACGGCAACTTAAAAACGGGATTTTAGATCTTTTCTCACATTTTTCTTTTCCCCTCTTCTTTCCTCTCATTCTTAGTCCGAAACCCTAGCCCCAAAACCTTCATTTCCTCTACTTTGATCAACAATCCACCATGGTTTTTGCATCAAGAATGGAGAATAAGAGAAGATCAATGTTTTTACCCGATTGGAACTCAGATTTGCGAAGGCTTCTTCTCAGGCTCACTCCTTTGCTTGATTATTGAGGTAGGGGATCTAGTTCTCTTCAATACTTACATCAAGAGATAGATTTGCAGTATTTTCATTGTATAAATGTACAGATTTTCATTTTGAGCATATAGAGTAATTATGAGATTTGGGAATTTCGGGTTTGAAGCATTGAAGGTTCAATCGATGAGTTAAGGTGGTAAGATATGACCCATAGATGTATAATCAAGGAGAAAATTGGGATGTAAGGTCATGGTATGAGAAGTTTGTATTTTTATGGAAAACTTTATATTTTTCTTGAAACCCTAGGTTAATTTGTGA